TAGTTTTATTGTTTGGCTTTCCTTGTCAAATGTTGTAAATTGTACCACACATGCTCTAGTTAGTTTTAAGGTTTTAATTGCTTCTCTGGGATCATGCTGCTGCAAATATCACTTCAATAACTCAAATTCTCTTGTCAAAGGTTTGTTCATATATATGCATTTCATGCCATTATTTCCAATTTATTATGTCTAGTGGTTCTGCCTAGTCAAATCTTCTTGCTGCTGTTACACAAGCTAGGCACACATTTTAAGACAACCCACATGGGCATTCTGACAGGTTTTTCCCCGATAGTGCTTTTCAGCCCTTGATCTTTTCTGATTGCTTTTGCACATGACACGTGGCCTTTCCATCCTTTCTCTTTGTCTGAAACAAAGCATACTATAAAAGCTTCATCTAGAGTTTCATTATCTCTTGGCTAGGAGATTGATATTTCCTAAGAATGATTGTTTTCAGCTAGGAGTTGCTCCTTTGTTCTTACTTGAAAATCCTAGCCATAAAATTACATTCGTTCACTAAATACCCATATCATTGCATATTAGGGCTACATTGTCCTTGTCATTTTGATCCTTATTTTAGGTCAAGCTTTTTTAGTTTCAAATCTTTGAGCTGACCTCTTGTTGGATTCGTGTCAGTTTCATCCTTCAAGTGTTTGACTGGTGAAACTGACTAGACGTTGGATTCAGATTTGCATCAAGTTCATCATAACATTATTTGCATAAGTTGATTGGATTTCGGTGCCATAAGGTGGAGAGCTCAAGAGGAGCTGCCACTTCATGAAGACCGAAGGAGTCCATCTCGTGAAAGGCAAGGTTGCACAATGGTACAAGCTGCTCCGTAGATAAAGATCTAGGAATTAAGCTAGTGTGGTTACTTTGTAAGAATCTTGATTTCACTAGTGGATTGGACTCAGTGGAGAGTTCTTGGTTTTTTTAACCCAGAGGTGGGCCAAAAACATCCCGTGCAATTTATTGTTTTTCTAATTTACTTATCTTTCCCTTTGCTTGTGATATATGTTCATCATTATTTGAAAATAGATAAGTCCATGCAACTAAGATTGTCAGAGTTCAAATGCGCACTAAAATGGATCTTAGTTAACCAAGAACATTTTAGTAAACTGGGCTTAAATTTGACTATTTCCGCTGTGAGTAAACTAACATATCTTATCTTAGTTGATGAGTGTTGCTGACTACTCAAACAAGCATGTATATAGATTTTAAATTGCAGGTTATTCCACTTGGTACCAATTTCAGATGTAATCCTCTACCAACTCCACGCCCACGTTTGTAGGGAAATCTGCGTTGTTGTTTTCTAAACAAGTCAAGAAAGCATGCTTGTACAACATGCAAATTTCCCTCTAACGGGCAGGTTTCCTCCTGCTTGTACAATAGAACTTAAACTTCTTTGAAGACGACATCGCACTCTACCTGTCAAATAAATGAAGAAATTTTAGAATACTACGTAAAAGACCTTAATTTGATCCAATATTGATTATATAGATAGCAATGCTGGACATGGGTTGAATTAGGAAGAACGCCGAAATTTCAAAAAAATAAATAAATAAATAAAATAAATCTACAGCTAGATATGGCTTAACTGGGCTTGTCCAACCCGCAACCCGCACTGAGCTGCCTTCACGGCTCTGGCACCAGTTGGCTCCACCAGCATGCAACAAGTATCGATAAGCCCAATTGGGCTCAGCTTTCAGTCCAGCTACTTAAAAAGAAGAATAGGGAAATTCATACTTTGGGATTTTTCTTCAAGAATTCACTACACAAATCTTGGATTTCAAAAATAAGGAATTTGTGAGAATTCGCGCAAGGGTTGTCTACTATTTATACTAAATCCTTACGGGAAAAGAAAACATTTTTCTTCCATGACTAGAAAATCTACCCTTGTCTTGGAAGAAAAATCCTATTCATTTGGGAAGCCTATTCAAAGATTTAATTTTGTTTCCCACTTAAACATCAGCATATATAGAGTAGACCTAAATTAACCATAATAGGCAAATGACATGTGGATTATATGTTCAATATGACAGTTTTACTCTTAACATTTTGAGTAGACCACAAAATTACCCTAATAAGGGAATAAGACGAAGTATACCCTAAGGTAATTAACCTTTTATGCTACTAACGGACCATGGGCTCTCTAGGTCATCCGTGACACATATTAGGGATCTTTTGGCCTCCTATAATACGTCCTATCATCAGGCCATACCCGATCTAATGGTGGCAGGGCACCGGCTCTTAAACTTTTTCCTTGAGTGTTCGGTGCACCTGCGTTCTTACCAACAAAAACTTTTAGAACTACCAGCCGGCAGGACTGCAGAGATTGTCCTACGTCATCAAAGACTGCCTAGTATGCTCTGTAGCCTCCCCTTTTAGTTGTCTGCTAAGGTTCCTTCCCTACAACTAACCCAGTCAATCAAATGAAACCATAATCACCACTTACTACTAAAAGCTCTCTCAAGGTTTTTTTTTTTTTTTTTCACTACTACTTTTCTGCATTAGGCATCAAATGCACTTTGGTAGACCCACCCCTTCCCTCTTTTTTCAAGATTTTCATCAATTAGGCTAACATGTGTTTGTTAACTTACAAGTGGAATTTCATCAAATGAGTTTTTTTTTACAAAATTTGCATCCACAATGGTGGTCGATTGAGGTGGTGGTGATTTCTAGTTTCACAAAAGGATAGGAGATTGAAAAAGATGTGTTGCCACGAAGGAAAAAATGAGGGAAATGTTGGTTTTTTGTGGCTAGGGCTTCAAGAATAGATTGTGGCTTTTTAGAAGGGAAATCGCCATTACACTTACTTTTACCTCCTACACACCCTTCTTGATTTTTGTCTCTTGATCTTCTTCAATCTATTCGATCAAATAGCCGAAAATTGAAAGGGATGAGTGAGGAGTAAAAATGAGTGTGTGGATAGCACTACCTTTTAAAAGATGCAATTGAATTTGACAGCACAAAAAGCTATCGAATATTATATTATACTATTATATATTCTTTCTATACAAAAACTCAAACCAGCATGTACTGTTCACGGATAGTGCGAGGGCTAAAATGCCCTCCAAAAAATTCCTTCTCAGCGTTTTCTACCAGCCTCTCTACAGTAAAAGGATGGTTATGCCCTTTGTGTCCACACGTCTGCCATCGCCGAGTTCTCTTCGTGCATCGAGTGGCTTCCTAATGTTTCTGTTGTTTTTCACTCCATTTGGTCGAGTAGCTTTCGACTAGATTTTCTTCACTTTACCTTTCTGTCCTCTCTCTTAGAAACCACAAACAACAAAGCGATTTGATAGGGAATTTTACCACACATGCAAACGGGCTAAAAACTCATATAATACTTGCAAAAATGACAAGGATATTGTAGTATAAACGGTTCTCGCAAGGTCGTTCTCCACAACGATTATTAATAAATCGAAGCAAATCAAATTCCAATTAATTATTGTAAAGCAGAAAGTTGAGATGATTGATTTTTATGACCTAATTTAATAAAACGAATTTAATTAATAAACAAAATTAATATGCAATGTGACATCCCACATCGCCCAGGGGACTGATCCTTATATGTATATTCCCATCCTTACCTAGCACGAGGCCTTTTGGGAGCTCACTGGTTTCGGGTTCCGTAGGAACTCCGAAGTTAAGCGAGAAGAGGGCTAGAGCACTCCCAGGATGGGTGACCCTCTGGGAAGTTGCTCGTGAGTTCCCAAAAACAAAACCGTGAGGGAATGGTAAGCCCAAAGCGGACAATATCGTGCTACGGTAGTGGAGCGGGCCCGGGAAGTGGTCCGCCCCGGGCCGGGATGTGACATGCAATATTAAAGATGAAGAAAAAAGAAACAGTTTTGTAGAAATCAAATTAAAGAAAACACTAGGGATCCACCATCACTTAGCAATCTTATGAACTTTTACCAATTACTTATGATCTACACATGCAAGACGTTCGGATCAAAACTGAACATGAGAGAGACTCATTATGCTTTATGAAAACCCCTTGAAAAACCATGCAACCCTTAAGACGTGGTGTTCATCTTAAGTGAAATTACAATTATTAATCACAAGAAGCCAACGCCAATTTCAGGGAACCTTCCGACCAAAATTGCATCAAATTATTTTTCTAAAGATCCTAATAGTGATCAAGTATTAAGAGAATTAGATAGTTTGAATCACGGTGTTTAATAATTCAAAGTATGCATGCAATCAATCATAAGCAATTAAATGAAAATTACATATTCATGCTAAGGCTCACGACTTCGCCCTAGCAAAATGAATTAGTTACACATTCATAATTGAAATCATAGAAAATATTATTAAGAAAATGATTGAAAACACCTTAAAGTATAAAATCTCCAAAAACCCTAGCAATTACTCTATGTCTCCAAAGTTGCATAAAAGAAAGCGTAGTCCCAAACTAGGGCTAACTAAAACCTTAAATATCTCCCTAAAAGCCAGTTGCACAATCCCTGAGAACCAAGTCTCTTATTTCCACTAGGAAGCTAACTAATAATAAAATATATTAAAACATAAGGTCCTAATTAAGTTAGGATAAACTGCGCAGAAACTGTCTAGCCATGTTTTAGCCTCAAAAGTCCTCCAAATACGGCCCAAGATAGTTTGTTTTAAAGATCAGGATGTTCTAAACACATCTCCAGAAGGCTACGAAACCATCCAAAGTCATCTTTGGCTCCAAAAATGCAATTCAAGCCCAAAACGTCACTATTTTAGCACCGTGCATTGTCTTTTATTTTATTACCAGAAAATCATTGCTTGGTAGAAAAATATGATATTTTGATATGACCAAGCTAACTGACTCACGATCGTCCTACAACAGAATTACTCCAAAATTTATCCATTGGATTATGTTTTGCTTCAGAAGAAGTTGAAAGTCTTATATTGAAAATACAATTTAAAGTATCCAAATTCTTCCAAAATAATAACCAAAATATACTAAGAATAGGGTTAAATATATAATATGAAGATGATTATTAATTTATTACAAATTCCTTTCACACTTAATCTCATCATAAAACCAACAAAATTCAAAAACCATCAAGCCCTCCATTAAATCGAAAAAAACATCATCTTGGCAATAGTTGAATTTTTCTTGGGAATTTCGCCTATCCCTGAGATTTTCTGGGTGGATTTTGTTATCAGGTCGCGAATTTAAAAGGGTTTTGACTTTGGGAGGAGATGAAGATCGGTGACGATGATCGGAGTTCGTCGGCATGTGGATGATTCCAGTGGCGCATTGATTATCAATCATGGTGATTCCTAGGGTTTCTGGTGCGTAAATTTTTGGGGATTTTGTTTGGATTTTTGGTAAGCAACTGTCATCTCTTTTCAACTTAAATTTAGTTCCCTTTTTTTTTTTTCCTCAAATTTGTTTGATGGCATGATTTCTTAGTTCCACCTTTTTCCTTCAGAATATTTAGTTTTGCATTACATATCTTAGTTTCTCAATTCATTTTTTTCTTCAAATGTCAGTTGCTCAAAAGCTGGTAAGGTCTTATTGTCAATGTTCAGATGTTAGTAGAGTAGATTTAATAAAACTTAGGATGATCATATAATCAGAGATGGGATTTTTGTTCCAATTATTTGTGGATGGGGAATTGGGGATTTCAATTCATGTGCCATTTACAGATGATTTGAATCCTAATGCAGGCCCGCATTCGGTACCGAGTGCCAGAAATTATCCAGTCCTGTACTTCTACAAGGAAATACAAAGTAGCACTTATGAAGTTGTCAAGGGAAATGTACATTCAGCCGTTGTAAAACCCGAAAGCAAGCCGAAGGTATTTCTCCTTGGTATCTTTATTTATTTGGTCTCATAATCTGCAAATCTCAGTAATGATAGAAAGAAATGGTAACTATGATATGTTAACCATGATTTAGGTTCAAATGTGATGAAAGTTGATTTTTTTGATTATCTTTTAGCATAAGTAGGGAAATTTATGAGGCCTTTATACAGCAATTTATCTTCATTGCCAATCAGATTAAATAGTAAACATTCTAACTTTTTCGCATTTTCTACTTTCAATTACACAGAAAGATGCAATTGAAGCATTACTTTCATCTCTAAAAACGATTGCTTTTAATTGTTTGTTAAAACCTATAGATTGTTAAACAAATGACAAGCTATTACTATATATTGTTCATATCAAGGGGGGGAGACATTTTTAGAATATCCTGAAATATAGCTAGGAAAACATATTTCCTTTTTTATTTTGGCAAACGTTTATGTCCTGCACTGTTGACTTTCTTTAATGCTTGCTCTGGGCTCTACGGGTTCTTTTTAAAGTTTGTTTGGTTGCTAGAAAATACTGAGAAATGAAGGGCTCCAGAGTTTGATCGTTTGGGCCTCAAAAGCATAGGAGTTTGTCCACTACTCTAATGTTTCATCTGAAAAATCCTCAAACCCAATTCTCAGTTTTCAGTTTTTTTTCACATCAATTAATTTGGCCTGTAACGTTAGGGGCTGAATTTTTTAGATTAGGGATTTTTTTTCGCACATAAATTTTCTTTTTAATTATTTTGGGTGAAATAAATGGATATGGGTCTTCAATAAGTTATTTTTATGGTATTATAATTTTGTTATTTCACAATTAAATGACATCTTGCTATTTTTAGAAGGTTTTTGTGTAAGTTTGTTCGCATTGCATATTTTGTTTACAAACAATGTTCAGTTAATGTGGTCATAATATATGCTATGATTACATCATGGTCCAACTGATGGCTTATTTATTTGGTAAATTATTTTTGATTTATCTCTGCAACCTCAATAAGCCTTAAGTCAATCCCATATTACTATGGTGAAGCTTAATTTCGGATTCCATGTCTTAAAGTTTAGCCTTTTATTTTGTAATTGAATTGCATGTCTCAAAATTCATGGTATCCTCTTTAATTGTCAGCTTTGAGCTCAGAGAGAGATAGTAGTCATCATTCAAATCCGAGTTCAAATCCTATTTTTGAGCCTTTTGTTTCGTCGGTGGTCAGGTAAAGTGTCTTAATTTTGGGTTAGTCTCTATATCTACACACATAATACATGGAACGAATTTGCACTGGTCCTTTACAGTGACGATCTAAGGTTATGAATCAGTGTAAGAACCATTTTTCTGGATAAATTGAAATATGTAATATTGAGTGAAGCAATCTCTTTCTTTTGAGCTGGTCATGTTGGAGAATATTTTTACTAACTTGGTACACAATATGGATATTCATGGACTCTCTTACTTGCCCTTCTATATTTATATTCAGTGTATGTGTGTGTGTGTGTGTGTGTATTTGTCTAAGTATTTGGTATATAGTTGAGTCATTGAAGCTCAACATTCCAGTGAGTATATTATCTGACTGTTACAATCATCTAGCTTTGGCTTGGGTTTCATCTTTTTGTTCACTATAGGAAGACTCACTAGAATAGTCCTAGGAAATTATGGGCTAGACATTGCTCTACATGATACTTATTATCACACGCATAATCTATGTGATTGCTTAACACAATTTGGTCGAACAATCACCATTAAATGACTTTTCTATGTTTGACCTATTGTTCGAATTTTATATATTTCATGTCCCGATTTGTGTTTTTTCGTTTTTCCAGAAGACTAATTTTTGGTATAAAATATAAATATTAGAAACATTCTACCCTTTGTTGAGTTTCTTTAATGAATTTTTTGAAGTGTTAATTCCGTACCATTTCTAAATTTAAGCTTTCCAATCATGATTGTATGATTATTTTTCTAATGTTAAATTGTGAAAGTTGGAATGTGGCTTATTTGATTCTACATCTACATTTCCTCTTCATTAAAATGTTTACTTACCCTCTTTTAAGTGTCTTTATTTATATATCTATTTTTTTTTTTTCATGAATTTGGAAGATGGTCTACAAATTGGAAAGATACGCCATACGCCAATGCAATAGTTTGAGAACATAATATGGGAAACTTTGGGAAGGACATATATGCGAAAGGAAGACTGACAATGGGTTGGTGGGTAAACTGAACGTTTTAAAATCATATTCTATTCCGTAATATAACACTATTGCGTTTGGACTAGCAACATTTAAATGGTGTCACCTAGAAAGTTGGTTGTTGTATCATGTCATGTATTTTTAAGTTGGAGATTTTTTAGGTAGCCAGCTCGAGGAAATGGCCCTCAGTTTCTAATTTTGTTTGGGTTTGAGGCCATCATTGGCGTTAAGGCGTTTATTGTCAGACCATGTGTGTTTTTTGGTAATTTTTATGTTGTTCTTGCGATTTTATGTGGTAGGGTTTCTAAATTTTATTGTTGATCATTTGGTTTTTTTTGTGTGTTGGTTTGTTTGTTTTGCAGGTTGTGTTTGTGCTGGGACAACATTTTCCACCTTCTGTGACTGCGTTTTAAAATTATTGAGGGTTAGATTTACATATGGATACATTGAATGATGTGTGAAATGGTAAATGTAATTAACCCTTCAACAAAACAAACAATAAAAGGAGTACCCATTCCCATCCAGCCTTCTGTTTTCTGCTTATCATACCTTTTCAATTTTGCTTATATTTCATTAGTCATATGAAGGATAGTGCAATACCTTGGGACGAAAATATTTAACAAACTGGACTGGATATCTCTATTATAGAGAGTTTGTAAAAGTAATTTAGACATTATTAGTTTATATTAGTGTTTCTCTTCTGTTTATTCACTCTATTTTCTATGTCATATGGTTTTACAAGAGAATTTCGGAGTGATAGCAAGTTGCAATGATGTAAATGCAACTTTGTATTTGGTTTGTGTTTAAAACTTAGTCCACTTGGTGAATGTTTTTTCTTTCTTTTCAGCTTCAGTGTTTGAGTCGCTTAGATTGCTAAAGAATTCAGCAAAAAGGCTTTCCAGACACAGCCGATTTTTTACTTCCAAGGTTCGTGCATGCTTCTCCATAATTTCATCGGTTAACTTTTTTTAGTTACATTTCCTTTTCTGTTCTAAATTATTGTGTTTTAGTGCTGCCTTTGTTATATCAACTTTGAAATTTCAACACAATTTTCTAAAATATAATGTTTTTTTTCCGGAACTTTACATATTTCTGAGTATACACTGCATTTGTTAAGGTATTTTTCATTCTTTTCGATGTTGGTATCTTGAAACAGACAATGTAGCTATCTGAAATATTCACTATTGCAGGGCGGCTCAGTATAACATTCGCAAAGGTTTTTTTCTCTTTCCCATCTCCATATACATATGATGAATGCAATTAAGAAGTCTAATGTATGGTAACATTTTATAGCAAATTTTCTGGAAATTTTCAACAGGCAAATTCAGTTGATCTTTATAGGGCTGGAAAAAAATCCCAAAAATCCCAAACGAAACCGAAAAAATCCCGATCCCAAACCAAAAAAATCCCAAACCAAAATTCCCGAAATTTTCGGTATGTAATCCCGAACCAAACCGAAATTTTCGGTATGGGATTCGGTATTCCATCTCCATTTTTTCGGTATTCCCATACCGAATTGAAATAAATATTATATATATATATTATTTTTTTATTATAAGAGAATTATTTCAACCATTCATTGTTTTAGATTTAATCTGTGCCGTTCATTTGTTTTTAGGTTAGATGACTTAGATAGTTAGATCCCCTTTCAATTTTCACTTCCGTTCGATTTCCTTTTGGTTTGTAACTTAATTATTGAAACTTTGGCTCATAACTAATTTTTTTGATTTTGGGTTTGTTACTTTATTTATAAACCTTGGCTTGTAACTACTATTTTTGCTTTTGAGTTTGTTACTTTATTTATTACTTTATAATATGTCAAATTTTAGCCCAAAAACATAATATGTCAAATTTTAGTCCAAAAGCCCAAAAGCATTTCGGGATTCCCGATTTGTCCCAAAATCCCGAAATTATTTCGGGATTCCCGAAAATTGGGATTCCCAAAAATTTGGTTTGGGATTGGGATTGAATTTGGGATTCCCAAAAATTTCGGTTTGGGAATCGGGACAATGATTTCGGTATGGGATCCCATACCGAACCACCCCTAGATCTTTATACTGAACAATGGGATGACATTATTAAGAATTGAAAAGTAACATTTCATTGATTGTTTTTCTTTTGTTGTATTCTATTTCCTTCTCCTTGAAATGGTTGTTTTTCTTTTATTGTTCTCTGCTTCTCTCTTCTTCTTCTTTTCCTGCCTGCCTTCTGTTATCTATGTGGTAATTGCAAATTGCAAACAAACTCTGCTGCTTCTTCAAATGTTGTATTAGTTTATAAAATATCCATAGAACACATACCTAATGACTAAATTCTTTCTCATAAGCAGGTACCTGTATACATAGCAGAAATAATATCTAAGGATCTTAGGGGGAGATTTTCTTAAGTTAATCCTGTGAACTCCAAGCTGAAGTGAGTCCTTGATTTTCGTGTACTTTTTATTTTTTGATGTCTACTTGGCGGTTTACATAGTTTTTAACTATTAGATAACTTAACTTTATGTTTATGATTGTGTTGTTTCTGATTGTATAAAAATTCAGTTTAAATGCTTTTGGAAAGGTAGAGATAGAACTATGACTTATAGTTTCTTTAATCCCGCATCAACGTGCGGACATCAATTTCTAGTTATACTACCATTTGACAAGAGAGGCAATTGGTTTGGAACAACTCTCAAAGTACACCATTGAGGTAGTTGGTACATTTTGAAACGTTTGGTTTGGTTCAGTTAATTCAAGATTCAAAACCCATTAAAATCATGCATTTACAGATTATATGACGAACGAAACCAGCCGATTTGTCAAGTTTTCGGCAAAAGTTCTAGATCAAGTATATATATTTGTGGGTTACATTTTACCATCTTAATTTTAGGTCGCTTAACAATTTTATACCTCATCTTTTACGCATTACAATGTCATACATCAATTTTGCAAATACATTGCAATGTCAGACTTCCATCAATTTTTCTGTTAATTTTTCTTTTATATGTAGATGTGGCAGGTGTGGGGCCCACTCCCTGTTAATGTGTAGGCCAAACTTGAGCCACGTGGAGTGGACAACAAACTAATTTTGTCCAAAAAAACAAAAAAAAAAACTAATAAACATCAACTAGGATATAAAAAAATAATATTAAAAAAAATTAAAAGAATTATAGGAAAAGATGAAGATGTCTGACGCCATATGCATCAATTCCTCTTCGCCTCTTTGTTCTGGGTATTTATCAAAGCAAAAAATTAACTTTTATAAAAAATTTAAATATATACAAAATCTCATTTAAGTAGACATAAATACTCTTAAATTTAAAATCTAAATAAATTAAAAAATAAAAACTGTAGACTTAAGAAATGGTGAAGACTTGTGAATGGTAGGAAATAGTGAAGACTTGTGTAGCCCTAAACAACAATGATTGTATTTTTTTTTGCATTGTTTCCCAATTACATTTTCTCTTTGTTTTTGTTGTTTCTTCTTCGATTGAATATTTATTAAAGAATGAATTATTTTAGAAAGAAAGCAAAAACGTAGCATTATACTTTTTTAAATGTGTTTTCTTTCTAAAATAAAAATATCAACATAAATACATATAAGGCACCTATAATGCTACGTTTTATTTATTTGACAACAAAATCATTGAACGTTGAAGGAAAAGATGATGACTATTTCATTTATTTAGCTTGGGTAAAAATCAAATTCACTGGTTGGCCTGCGAGTAGTGAGAGTTGTTTAGAATTGTTTGAAGAGCTGTTTAATTGTAATTATTCTTTTGTTTTTTTTTTTTCTGTTAATTTATAAATAAATTTTTTTTGTACCGTCTAGGTTCTTGAAGTGAAGAAAGAGAAATCAAACTCATACAAAATACGTAAATAAACTAATTAGGTAACTTGACAAAAGAAAAAACCATTTCACTAATTTCTTCTTTTGTTGTTCCAAACAAATTTGGTAGGGATTTTATCATCAATGGTCCCTTATGTTTTATGAATCAATAGTTTTCGTCATTTATGTTTCAATTCAATCAATTCGGTCCTTCATGTTTATTCCAGTATATCAATTTGTTCCTTAACGTATAAATCTTTAAAAATTTATTAGTGTGTTGATGTGGCATCCATGTAGTACCAGAACTTTATGTATTAATTGCCATGTGGATAAACAAATTCAACTATTAATAAATATAGAAAATAATTTAATTAAAAATAAAATACATAAATAAATGAATGATAATAAAATCTCTAGTCTCTTTTTTCCTTCTTTCTTCGATCCATAACTCCCATGCAACCACCGCCAAACCCCAACCCAATTCTGATGCAAAAATCCTCATCATGATCGTCAACGTCCTCATGCTTTACGCCTTCTTCACCTCGACGAAAAAACTTGAGATTATTGTTGATGGTTATGGTGCCTACGTTGCTTCCTTTATATTTTATAAAACCAAACATTAACACCATCAACAACGAGAAACCACAAATTGAACCAATTTAAATTCAAACCACAAGTCGACGCCATCATGAGAAAGCGGAGAGGGATGGCTTGGAGGAGAGGGAAGAAGAGAAGGGAGAGAGACATTTTGTCTATAATTTTTATTTATTAATTAATATTTTATTTTAAACATTTCTATTTTATATTTTAATGTTTATTAATTTACTCGTGTATTACATTAGCACATTAATTAGTTTTTCCAACAAAATTTGAGAGCAAGAATCGAATTGACGTGTGAACTGAACATTGAAGCTAAATTGATTGAATTAAAACATGAAAAACGAAAATGATTGATTAATAAAATATAAATAACCATTTGTGGTAAAAAAAAAAAAAAAAAAAAAAAAAACTAATTTGGTAAGTTCGTTACTTCTGAATTCATAAAAAACAACAAAATTCACCGCACGTGCCACCCTTGCGATATGCAGGAGGAGCAGTGGAGTCCATCGGTTTTAATCCATCCCTTTTCAGTATAAAACCGAGTTCGACGAATTTGACGCTGTCGGTGATCCCCCTAAATAATTCTCCTCCCCTTCCTCCCCCACATTCCTCCCACCTCCCCATCTCAATTCATTCCCCATTTAATTTAATTTCTTTTCTTTTTTTTAATTCTCGATTTTAATTTTTCCAAATTTTGATCCGATTTTTCGTACAATCCGATTCAGATCGAACCCGGATCGGACTTAGAGAAAAAATGGCGGCATCTCGACGGCTCCGGGACCTGCAATCGCAGCCGGGGAACAAGATCTGCGTGGACTGCTCCCAAAAGAACCCGCAGTGGGCTTCGGTTTCGTACGGCGTCTTCATGTGCTTAGAGTGCTCCGGCAAGCACCGCGGGCTCGGCGTCCACATCTCCTTCGTCCGATCCGTGACCATGGACTCGTGGTCCGAGATCCAGATCAAGAAGATGGAGGCCGGCGGCAACGAGCAGCTCAACGCCTTCCTCGCCAGCTACGGCGTTCCTAAGGAGACGGATATCGTCACCAAGTACAACACCAACGCCGCCAGCGTGTACCGGGATCGGATTCAAGCCCTAGCCGAGGGGCGTCCCTGGAGGGACCCACCCGTCGTGAAGGAGGCCCTAGGGTTTGGGAAAAAGAAGCCGCCTTTGGCCCAAGGCGGCGGCGGTGGAAGCGGCAGGGGAGGTGGTTCTGGGAATAATGGGGGGTGGGATAGTTGGGATGACGACGGTTTCAGATCGTCGAACGATATGAGGAGGAATCAGTCGACCGGTAACTTTAGAGGCGGCGGTGCTCACGGTGGTAGTGGTAGTGATGGATATGGAGGTGGCATGCCGGCCAGATCGAGGTCCACGGAGGACATCACGAGATCGCAATTCGAGGCTTCTGCGGCTAACAAGGAGAGCTTTTTCGCCAGGAAAATGGCGGAGAATGAGTCGCGGCCTGACGGGCTACCGCCCTCACAGGGCGGGAAGTATGTCGGGTTCGGATCGAGCCCCGCCCCTTCTCAGAATCATAATGTGAATGCGCAAGGCGATGTGTTGTCTGCTGTATCTCAGGTTGCATTACTTTTGTTATTATGTTAATTCTTGATTCGTGATTGTAGATGGAAATGGCTGATATTGATATATACTACCTGTCTGTTTTTGGTTTTCCGTTTATTTAATTTGAATAGGGTTTCGGAAAGTTATCCTTGGTTGCTGCATCGGCGGCTCAGTCTGCTGCAAGTGTAGTCCAGGCAGGCACAAAAGAGATAACTACTAAGGTATTTCTCTATCCAGGCAGGCATTTATATTTGGATATGATTGAAATGCCATGCACTACACTGCATGTTTAAGACTTACTTTGGATGCCGTCAATGGCATCACTACGTATGCGGTATGCCTGCTGCATTTCTTTTGGCTATAGTGGTATATGTTTGGCACCCTTTGTTCTATTAGTTGTGTTTTTTCCTTTTCAAAATCCTCACTGTTATGTGCTTTGTCAGTTCGATAGTGAACAACTTCATGATTTTCGACCGTAATGTGTGCTTTTAGTGGTACTCTTGGTTTATAACCTTTTTGGTTCATATGCCTGACATTTGGAGCGATGTTTTAACTGTGATCTTATTTGTGCAAGCATCACTTTTGAGCTAGGAAACTATAGCTAACTGCAATAGCGAAAGGCAATAAACAGGAAAATGAAAACAAAGTGGTCTCTTACTTTTCAGCTGAATTAACATTTAGTTCTCAGTAAAAAAGCATTTCTGATCATTCCAATCAGAAGATGGTTAGTATGCTGGAAGACAACTTTACTCTAAAAAATATGGTGATTTCCTCCCTGTTAATTGTTCTTTTAAATATTCGGATAAATTAGGTGAACAGGCTCGATATTGTGTCATTTCTCTATTGCCTCACCAAGTAACTCTTTTTAATTTTCAAACTGTTTCACAAGTTTTATTTTGTAACCCTCCATTTCCACATACAGTGGGTTAAACTCCTCAGAACTAATGACTTGCTCATTGGTTGTATTAAACACCTCATCACCTTGATCTCCCCACTTCAACAAATAGCATCCCAAAATACCATTTCAACCATAACATCTCCTATCGACATAGAAACAATTACCAAACAGTCTACCTCAAACAATTACAAACATAAAATCTCTCACATGGCCTCAATTACTGGCAAGCCACCACGACTACCACTACTCATCACATATCACCTCAATTAACACATAGCAAACACCCAGGTTGGCCAAATGGATAGCCATTGGCTGTTCCTATTCCTTTTGTAATTGATTAACCTAAATATCCTGAGGTTTGAAAATATTTAAAAAATGTATTAATGGAGGGAAAAAGAACATATATCGGAAGGAAGACACATCTGGGTGATTTACGCATTTTTGTTTCTCTTTCTTTACTTTCTTTTTAACATTTTCAAGAAGGATATGAGAGTTTTCAGTCCTAATCCGTGTGTGTGAGACTGCAAGTTTGTGTGAGAGAGAGCGACCACTAAACATCACTTAAAAGCTCCTTTTAGAAATCTTATACAAAGTTTCCATGAAATTGTTCTAGTTGCATTTGTGTTATGTGGATGTGGTACACAATATTTTCACATTAAATTAATATTGTCCGTTATTTTTACAAGAAACAGATAAATTGAAAGCTATATTTCTTCAATCACCAGTAATAATTAATATAGACCTAAAGGTTAGCCCATTTCTGAAATTTGATAATGAAGTTGTATGATCGAACTTTTATAACAGGTGAAAGAAGGCGGCTATGATTACAAGGTGAATGAAACTGTTAATGTTGTCACGGCAAAGACGTCAGAGATAGGACAAAGGACTTGGGGGATTATGAAAGGGGTCATGGCAATGGCATCACAGAAGGTTGAAGAGTACACTAAAGACGGAACAAACTGGAAAGCTGAGAATAACTGGCAACGAAATGATAGTGAACAGAATGGATACTATCAAGAGTTTAAACAGGAGAACAAAGAATGGAATTCTTCTTCCGTAGGGGGGCAATCATCGAGTGGGAATCTTAATTCTTATGGCTCTAGTTCTTGGGATGATTGGGACCAAAAAGACACGAGGAAGCAAGAGACTACTAAAGGAACGGGATCCAATAGCAATGATGGTTGGGCTGGCTGGGATGATGGGAAAGATGATGGATATGATAATGCTTACCAGAGTACATCTATTTCAAAGGCTGGTCACAATGGGAAATCTGATTCAGCGTGGACTGGGGGAGGCTTTAACTAAGGTTAGTGTAATACAGGGAACTAATTTTCTGGTTATTTATAACTTTTTCCATATCTTACCTTTTTACCATGCTTATGTGGGTTCGCGAAATGATATTTGTCTTGAATTGAATTTGGCTTGCGATAGTTGTGGATTTAGTTTGGAGTTCTTATTCCTGTTTTGCATTGTATATCCAAGTAGGAACATGTGGGTTCTCGAAATGATATTTGTCTTGAATTGAATTTGGCTTGCGATAGTTGCGGATTTAGTTTGGAGTTCTTATTCCTGTTTTGCATTGTATATCCAAGTAGGAACATGTGGGTTCTCGAAATGATATTTGTCTTGAATTGAATTTGGCTTGCGATAGTTGCGGATTTAGTTTGGAGTTCTTATTCCTGTTTTGCATTGTATATCCAAGTAGGAACCTCACGTGGTCTCTGCAATTTCTGGTTAACCCATATGTCGCGGACACAAATTAGAACTCAAAACTGATGGATGCCAAGGGTGATACCTAGGTGATGGATATGGAATTTGATGGAGGCGGAATTGTTAGCAGCTGGTGCTGACTAATTGGTTGGTGATTTGTTGGAATTTAGATCCATTTCCATGGAAAAGACACTTTTGTTGAGGTTAGTATATTTGCAGTAAAGTTTTCTTCTCTCTCTTTCTTTCATCTGGAAAAGATTTTTATGCAACTTAATTGGGATATTCGTCGTTTTCCAAAAGTTGTTTATGTATGTACAACTACCAACAAGGAGGGTTAATTGCCCGATTCAAAAGAGGACTGAAAGTTTGAATTTGTTTGTGGGATTTGAGGAATGAAATGATTTGCATTTGTTCTTGTTTGTTATCCCTCATTCGTGTTCTGATTTGTGCTAGCCCTTTCAAATATCAGTCATTAGCAATCATCTGAATAGTATGACCATGTTCGGCTTCTCAAATCCCTGCGCCGCTCCATTCTTTCCGTTCACTTAAGCTGCTCTATTTAACCATTTAGAGCAAGTCCATTCCACTAAGGGAATTAGTGAATAATAGTTGGCCGAGTGCAGCTCTGCTTTGTAGATGGATTGGTATTAAAAAAATTATTTTTATAATAATAAAAGATAAGTTTATATCTAATTTTTGTTAGGATTTTTAACCAATTTCATCACGTCACATGTTATTATCCGAAATCACAATTTTTGTGGTTTGATTTTCAATTAGATTTTTAACCAATTTCGTAATGTCACGTTTCATGAGCTCGTAAGACGGGTTGGAACGCCTATTTGCCCAATTTATGTAGGGTAGGCGTCTTATTCAGTAATACGGAATGCCCTTGAATAACTTCTTGAAGTATTTCTCCTACAGCCGGCGCTAAAAATACGCTAAGCGTAAATTGATATGTTGATATCGTAAATAAGGACAAATGAGATAGAAAGAAGAAACTGTAACTATAGGGTTTGGATTTTGTGAATAGCCTTCTGATAAGATTTTTAACTAATTACATTGCGTCACGTGTTACTATATGATTAGAATTCTTGTGGATAGATTTTTGATAAGATTTTCAACCAATTACAGCGTGCCACGTGGCATCATCTACAACTCGATCCTTTCATTTTTTTTTATATATAAACCATACACCCAACTTAAACTCACATGCCAAAATTAAAATCTCTCTTAAGCCTTAATGGTGGATAAATCTTGAGTTCTTACAATGTTTTCTATAATGTTCGTAGTTCATGTTACTAGACCATTTGTCACAATTTTGTATTTCGGGCAACCTTCGACAACATTACAACATTCAAAGATGTTGAATGACTTATTCTTGTGGGCCGCATTGTACCAAACTTGTGTTCGAACTTGAAGTGCCTACAATGAAGGATTTGAAGGTCCTTTCGTCTCTTGGAGGTTTTGGTCGGAAATATTGTCCCTGTAAGAGACGGGGATTTTGAGAGGCAATGACATCCTATGAGGATTGTAAATGGTCATCGCTGCTGGAGTTGTCATGAAGGTGGTAAAAACTGCCATCAGGATCAAAATAGCAAACATCTAGTCGTTTTAGAATCTGGAAAGCAAAATTTTTCATCGGATCTCTAAGGTCAACACGGACTTACACAACGAAGGTCCGTTGGCACGTTCGTCTAAAAAGGTGAAGTTGTCCAACGGAATATAATTTCCTCGGTTAAAAGTTGTGTGATGAGTTTTACGTGACGACTTTTGCTCGATGGATATCTGTTGCCTTGGAACCTAGGCCACTAATGTCTGATTTAGGAGACGAATTATTTTTGCCTCGTAAGTAGTGTTTTTTTTATTTTTTATTTTTATTATTATTTTTTTATTTAGTGGCAATATATGTATATCCAATCTCAATTTCAGTGATGAATTTATTCAGATTCATCATCTATGAACATTCACTTTCTTTTCTTTTTTTTTTCTTTTTTTTTTTTTCCTTTTCGTTCAAATAACTGTCATTTATAAGATTTGCACTAAAATCCTCTAACAAAGTAGAGACCAATGCCATTAGACCATGTGATTATGAGCTAGCGTACACATGCAGAGACTTACGTTTAAACACTTAATTTGTACTTGTTAATTAGCGAATTGGGTCAGACAGATTCCTTAGAGATCTCAAGCACAGAACTGGAGACAGATTCCTTAGAGATCTCAAGCACAGAACTGGAGGACTCATCCGCGATGAACCTTTCGTAATCACCGTGCAGTACCTTCGACACCGGAGCCTCCACGGCATGAGCTACGTCATGTTGTTGAATCACAAGCACTGAGGAGACCACACCCTGGCTCGATGAAGCCAATATGTCTCCAATGGGGCCTAACTCTGCATGCTCTGCATGGCGGTCGGCCAATTCTGCCACCATGCGTGACGGGAATCTTCCTTTGCCTACGATTAACAGGTCATGATCTCCACTTCTTCCTATTTCCAAAACCCCCTCCACAACGTTATTGGCTGCCACCTTCTCTATGTACTCTGCTTTCCCATCCCATTTGCTTCTGAACTCAGCCACTGCTTCCTCATCCAGCTCCTGATGATCAAAATTTACAAAAGATTAAGACATAATTAAAAATGATAAACGTATACACTAAACTTGTGTGATTTCCCTCTGTGAGTCTTTCCGGCCCTCGTAATGGTGGACTGCTATAGCGAAACCACCAGCTTATCTCCTTTTCAAGAAAAAAAAAAAAGAAAAAAGACTAATCTTTTAGGGTATGACACCCGTGTGATGAAGGTGCATTTGTGAATGATCAAATAGATGAGAAAATCTTCCCTTCACGTCCCAGAAAGAGTATCGAACCGGCGAGAGGTAAATAATTTTCAAAATGTTGGAACATCATGCATACCTTTTCTTTCTTTCGGTCCATTTTAGCTGTGGAAAAACAATAGCTATTCTCGGTAGACTTGGAGGGCGAAGGCTTTAACATGATCCCATTACTCTCCATGCCCTCTTTCTCAACAAATTTCACAACCACCACTTTAACTGTCGGGTGTTCGGCCATCCTACCACCAAACTCCAAGGCCTCGCGATCATCAGGCCCACCAAAAAACATAACGCAAACTCGTCGGGTCACAGTGGTGCTAGGCCTTGGAGTTTGGGCTCCGGTGTTACCAAACCCCCGATCAACGATCACTGCAACGGAGCATGGCGCAGTTTGAAGCACCCTCTGGTTGACCCCTCGCCAGCCGTGGCCAACAACCTCCGTCGCTTCATGATTATCGCTCTCACGCATCCATTGTTTGTGGAATGGCAAGATGATCATCGTCACCTTCCGGTCGTCCGCCACATGGCAAACATCCTCGTGCATTGTGGACAGGGTTGAAATTGCGGTTGTGGGTCGGACCGATACTCGGCCCAATTGGCTATAGGCCTTGAAGGCTGAAACAACCCCCTGGCTCCATGGGCCGCGGCCCAATCGTTTAAAGAAGGGAAAGCCATTCTTTCGGGCCCGTTGGACCATGATGATGGAAGAAGATCGCTCAGTGAGCTCCACAAGGTGCATGAGGAAGAGTTTGAGTTGGGCTTTCTTGTCACTTCGGATGGACTCAATGAGGCTAATGAGTGAGGGCACATTGGCAGGCCCATGAACACACGCCAGGACTCGAAGCTCGTCCTTGAAGGATTCACTGGTTGACAGATCACAGAGCTTACGGTGAGCGCGAACTGAGATGCCACGTGCGGGCTTGTAAATGGCCATCACTAATGGACTAGTGATAAAGGTGGTGAAGAGTGCCATGATTACCAGAATAGCAAATGTCTCATCATTAAGCACCTGAGATTTAATTAAAGAGAAAGTTGTAAAAGTTATGTACGATGTCAGCAATTTTGGTGCTACGCGTGTTGCACATAATACTTTGTATTCGGTATTGTAACCTAATATGTAGAAACCAATGGTAGAACTCTTGCTAGCACACGTAGAGGGATTTAACGATAACTATATAAGATGTCTTTGGAACATGACGATCCAAGTTATTACTCCAGCGTGTTTTAATTATACGAACACTTTAGATTAATATGATCATGTCACTACATGGATTTTCTTAAGCTCGCTAGTTAGTTTATTTTTTTTATGTTTGTGCTAACAAACAATTCCTATAAAGTAGAAAGCTGAAGTCTCCCTCGAACACGAACAATTCCTAATTCTACTTAATTAGTTGATGGTTTTGACGAATCGTGAGTCGTCACTGAAGGATAATGACCAAACCGAACGCGTTGGAGTTGGCATCATACTTCCCCATAAAAACGATAACCTTTTAGATTGATCCATTCATCTTCTGGGAATGCACAGACCAGAACAACACTATGCTACAGACAATTCCTATAAAGTTATATATAAAAAGCCTCCTCAAATAGACAGTTTTTGGCTTTTTTTTACACAACCGATAAGATAATTTATGCTAACTTTATTTAAATTACGGAAGAGACTGAAAAAGGCAAAAGGTGGATTAAAGAGGAAAATCTTGTCCAACAAGACGAATCCACTACTTACAAATATTTTTTAAGTAGGATTTGGATCCTCTCCGGATCCTCTTCCCGGGGATTCCGGAGATCAAGACGCAAGGACCGTTCATCAAAGATCGAAAGGTCATAATTAAATACTTTTTACACAAAACATGATTGCTTTACTTTTAAAAATATAAAAAATATTTAATTGTGATCGTACGATCTTTGATGAACGGTCCTTACGTCTTGATCTCCGAGATCCCTAGGGAAGGGATCCGGAGAGGATCCAAATCCTTTTAAGGGATTTGGAGATTCGTCAAAGCCTATACCAGAACAACCCAAAAGTCCTAACCTAAAAAAGTTTAGCTCTTATAGCAATAATTGATAGAATATATATACCACCCAACTTTATTTTTGGATGGATTCACAATAAAGCAAAGGCCGACGAGACAACTAAGCCAGATATGCATGCTTTTAATCTTTTCAACGACATTAAACTTTCGAAGTCTGTCATCATGCAGGGGGGAGAAATTGCCATAACGCACCAAGGGATTCATGGATTGGCAAAAGCTTTTAAGAAATCTTTCAAAAAAGCAAAGAGACGAGGGGAAAAGTTGAGTTGTTGTTTTCAAATGATTTTGATTTTGCAATTGATTCCCTAACATCTCATGACACTTTTTTTTTTTAATTTTTTTTTTAAGTGGAATAATTAGTGACAAATCATGATTACCATCCCTTCCGAATCCAAAGATAATATTCACAGTTTTAATTACTCTTTCTGGCTATTAGTACAATCTAAATTTTTGTTTTTTCTTTTCATTTTCCATTACTAGTAATTTGTAAATTTCATACTTGCTTTTATAATGGAAATTTGTGGTAAAAATTAAATCAATAATAATTAGCTGACCTTTTTCTCCTTGCCAATGTTGAGAACAATGAGCTCCACCAACCCCTTGGTGTTCATGAGCACACCAAGCGTCAACGATTCTCTAGCCGGAATCATAAACGTCATTGCCACCACAAACGTCCCCAAAATCTTCCCGGCACAAGCGATCGATATAACGAGCACCAACAGCCCCCAAGCCTCTGCACCGTGTATCTTTCCTACATCGGTCTTCAACCCACTTGATGCAAAGTAAAGTGGAAGCAACAAACCGGACACAAAGTCCTCAGTCTTCGCTATCAATCTGTCTGCAAACTGTCCTTCTTTGGGAATTGTTAGACCAAAGACAAAGGCTCCAAATATAGAATGGATACCAATTAGGTCAGTAATGAATCCGGATACCATGACTCCGGCTAGGGTTAGGCATATATAGGCTTCGTCTACGTCATCTTGTTCTGGGGAGCTCCGACGGGCCACCCAGTTCATGGCCGGTCGGATCACCACCATCATGAAAGCAACAAATGCAACACCTGAGATTCACAAGGCAGTAAATGCCAATGTTACCAAGGTCTAAAAATACAGAATATTAAACAAAATATAGATATTAAATAAATGATAAGCGATCACGTTGTATACTAGTTCTCACCCTTCTTTTAGTGTAAAATATATCGTTGTACTAAAAAACAGTGAGCCACTTATGTAAAACTCAATTCATAGGGAGGTTTTGATAACATATTAATTTATTTACTTTTTAAGTGGAGAAATAAGTTATACGTGTTTTATAAACAATTGTCACGGACCATTATGAGCTCGTTTGGATGTGCTTTTAAAATAACTGAAAGTGCTTTTGGTGAAAATGTTTCTAGAACCTATCTTTAGTAAAAATGTAAGTAAATTCTGGAATAGCACTTAAAGTGCTTTCTGGAAGAAACACATAACTGGTGCTTCTTGCAAAAAACACTTCAAATGCTTTTGAAACCCAAAAACATTTTTTGTAAAAACGTTTTCAGTAATTTCAAAAGTACATCTAAACGAGTCATATATTATTTCATGCATTAGAATACAAACGTACGATTGAATTAGTATATATTTCACTTGTAAGATAAATATATTAATAAAACTATGAAAGTTAAATACACCTTAAGTGAAATAGTATAGCACATGACTATGTCCTAAATACACTAGTAAAGTAGTACCCAATCTCTCATTTACTGGAGTAGGTCACGACTACAATTACACGAATTGTTTATTTTAAAAAATGGAAAATAAAAAGAAACTTGTGAAAAGAAAAAAAAAATGAAAAAAAAATCGAGCATATTGTGGAAACTTTTGGACCAGACAAACCTGATAAGAGGACCCAGACTGATACCATAGGACTTTTCTTGTGGCCACCAACGCCGTCACCGGCGAAGGCCACCGCAAGAGCGAGCAAGATCCATGCAGCGACGTCATTCAACGCGGCAGCAGCCATGGCAGTTTCGCCAACCCTAGTAGTTAAAAGCTTGAACTCTGCTAAAATGCGGGCGAGTACAGGGAAGGCCGTGATCGAAAGCGATACTCCCATGAACACAACGAACTCACTGAAGCCGACTTTGTCAGCCCCGTCGATCGTTCTCCGGAGGATCACAGCAACGCCGATGCCACATAGGAAAGGCACCGATATGCCAGCGAGGGCTATGCCAAATGAACTTCGGCCACTACGACGTCGGATTGAGCTTAAATCGAGCTCAATGCCTACGAGGAACAAGAAAAAGAGAAGACCAATGCTTGCCACGGTTTCGAGTATTGGAGTGCTCCATGAGGGAAATATTTTGTGCAGGTAGTCTTTGTTTCTTCCAAAGGCTGACGGCCCAAGCAATATTCCACCCTATACAAATAAATAAATGAGAAAAAATAAAATAAGAATTAATTATGAAGAATTAGACACATGTAAATGATTACCTCGATACAAATTAGAACATGTCTCAAGTTCGAATAAATTAGGAGAGTAGGACTTACAGCAATCTCGGCGATGACTTTGGGTTGGCGGAGGGGTTTGAGAAGGAAGGCGAGGAAGCGGCTGACGACGATGATTAAGGTGGTTTGGACGATTAAGAGTGGGAAGGCGAAGTTTAGAGGATTGTCACCTTGCAATAATCCACTTGATGCAGTTTTGATTGAAGTTACATTCACCAGAGCCATCGTGTGTTATGCAAATAGCTAGTAGCTGTATATAATAGGATATCATGGAAAACTAAGCAATTTATAGAGAGGGAGAGCGAGTCTTGGTTTTTGTCGTTGTGAGTAAGGGTAATTAAAGTGAGGTCACACAGTGAAGGGCAACAAAAGCGTAATTTGGCATTTGATGATCCATTGTTTTATTGTATGGGTAAATATCAGCTTACTACTTTCATATTTCGTGGTTTTTAACATTTAGTATATCAAGTTTTTTTCATTCCAAAGTTATACCTAAAAAGTAATTTTTTTGACAGTCTCATACATCTGTTAGTCAAACTATTAAGTCTTGCATTAACTGATGACATGGCGTCCACGTGAACAATGACTGGACGCCACGTGTCAATAAGGATCCCACATGGATATTAAAAAAAATTACAAATTACAAAATTACAAAAAAAAAAAAAAAAAAATGTTCTTCTCCTTCGAACATCTTCTTCTCCATCCCTTCTATAACCCTCCTCTCTCTCCTCCTCCGCACACCCTCTCCACTTTCTCTCTCTAACCCTCTTCTATATCCTCCTCTGCACACCCTCTCCGCACACCATCTCCACTTTGTCTGACTTTATATCAGATACTTCTTGTGCATCCTCCATTGAAACGACTCTGAAATCAACTTCGACAAATTATAAAATCATCCATCACAAAAATCGTAAAGTTTGAATCTTTACTAAATCCCAGCTGACCCAACATCTAAAATCAAAGCAGAAACTAAGAAATAATTCAATACAACACCAAATCAAATCACAAAAAATAACATCAAATTATACAAGGAACTTCATTAAAGTCCAATGAATACTTTTACCATAAACAAAAGTAGAAAATAATAATCCCAATTGAGATAATCCAAGATTAAGATTTGAAATTTAACATTCTTTGAAAAAAAAAAAACCCCACATTCAGACTCTGTTTTTTGGTTCTGATAATTTGAATCAACAGTTTGGATGCTTGAATATTATGCTAGGACTATGAACTTCAAATACCCAATTTAATTCAGCTGATGGGTAGAACGAAATCAACTTACCCGAGAGTCCTCCCTTGCTGTCGACGGCGATCGCAAGCAATGGCGTAGTCAGAAATTATTTGTTGGGTGAGCTAAGCTAAAATTATTACTACGAAATTAAGTTTTTAATCCTATGTTGCCTACATAAAGTTATATAATAGTAAAAACTTGAATGTAGTAATTTGAAACAAAAATTTTATGCTATGTTTTTTAGGTTTCTAATCTTCAAAGTTTTCAAGTGAATAAAATAAGGAACCATTTGTGATATGGAAGTTTTAATTTATTCCTATTAAATACAATATTGGTTAAAGTGATGAGTTTATTTAACATTTATTAGCTCTTATTATTCTTAAAAACAGGCATACTAGTAAAAAAATTTCATTTCTTATGCGAAATATGACAATTAAAATCATAAACTAACCTAAAAATTAATATTTTTAAGCTTGAAGAACCAAACTCTTCCTATGCTATAGCCTAAGGGAGCCTTGTACTTGGCTCCGCCCTTGTTGCAAGCTAAGCCCTCTGAAGCTTGTCACGGCAAAAGCCCTAACCCCTTACGTCCAAATTTGCACATATGGGTGGAGGCCGAGAAGGGAGGGAGAAGGGAGGGACGGTAGGGATTGAGGAAGAACAGCTTTTTAAATTTTTTTGTAATTTTGTAATTTTTAAATTTTAATTTGTAATTTTAATTTTTTTAATATCCACGTGGTACCCTTATTGACACGTGGTGCCCGGTCATTATCCACGTGGACGCCATGTCATCAATTAACGGAAGGCTTAACTGTTTGATTAACGGATGTACGAGATTGTCCCAAAATTTACACTTTAGTTATGACGGGACGAAAAAAACTTGATGTACTAAATACTGAAAACCATGAAACACAAAGGTAATAAACTGATATTTACCCTTATTTTATTATAAAGAGGATGATTTGAACTTGTGACTCTTTCGGCATTAGAGAGAAACATATATCTAATATCAGTAAATTAATAGTTAGTTGGTACTTTAAACTTAGTTGTTTATTAACCAGTTAGACATTCACGTATTATGGACCGTGTGAGTTTCATTCATTTTAAACCTAGTTGGTTAACCCAAGTAATTGAGATCAAATGATTAAAGTTATTTACTCAAATGCTCGAAGACCTTTATTATATGCTCTATTCTTCAATATTACTTGTATTTGTTGTTAATGCAATACGTTAACATTGGTATATACATATCTTCGATACTGTTAAAATCATTTAATGAATATAGTACTTGATTTTGTAAAAAGAATAGGATGAAATGAATCATAACGAACTTGTCTCCATATATGCCGATTCTTCTTTCCATGTTACCAACCAAAGTGAACCCAAAACTCCAAACACTTCATGTTTTTTGTTTTCAAGTTTGATCAAGCGAATATCACGAGATTGTTGCAAAAAAGGATTGCAATTTTGTTCACGACTCCACATTGAACCTGACCCGTGGCAACTGTACACTTAAATAATGATCACAATCAACTTTGGGCCATACATAATGCGACTAATACCAAACAATAATAATCCTTTGTACTCATCAAATGCGTGCCTGTCCATTAATATTACCCCACAATGTCAAAGATTAGTACTTGCACAGTAGTAGACGGTCCAAAATTCATCCGACTCTAGTATTAAAAATGAGAAACGCTTTCTGCACTCTATCGATTTTTACCCTCTTTTACTTCCTTTCTTATTTATAGTCACATAATTAAATAAATTGCGATAAAATCAAGGGACAAACACAATTAAGTGGGAGTGGAGGAGACTAACAAAGAGTAGTGTGATGGAAATTAATCATTTCTTTTACCCTATGTTTGGAAGAAGAAATCATCAAAATATACACTAAGTTTTGACTTGCCAAGGCTTATGTGGCGCAAACATTGGGTCTCACAAATTGCATACACGGCATGACTCATCTAAGATAGACAAGTCATCAAGAGTGACATTGGGGAATTATCTTTTAACTTGACATTGATACAAATATACAAATTATGTCAATTTGGTAAACTCGACAAAAAAAAAAAATTATTTGGTCAATTTACCAAACAATTACTTATTTAAATGATTTGATTAAATCAAATTGGTTATTGTTGTCACATCCTGGCCCGGGCCCCCACCACATCCCGGGCTCAACTCCACCGTAACACGATATTGTCCGTTTTGGGCCCCGACCACGCCTTCATGGTTTTGTTTCTTAGAACTCACGCAATAATTTCCCAGTGGGTCACCCATCATGGGATTGCTCTTGCGCGAACTCGCTTAACTTCGAAGTTCCTACAAAATCCGAAGTCAGTGAGCTCTCAAAAGGTCTCGTGCTAGGTAGAGATGGGAATATACATATAAGGCTTACATGATCCACTTCCCTAGGCGATGTGAGATGTTACAATTGTACTTCAATCAAATCCTTCCATCCGTAGAATTAATCAAGTCATTTAATTAATTCAAAATTATTTGATTATATCAAATTGGACATCAATCAAGTCCAAGCTTATACTCAAGTTCTTCGACGGTTTACCAAATTAACTGATTTGGTTCAAATTAATTGATTCGGTTCAAATCAAGCTTTGGTTGTTTTATCAATTAAATTTTTTCGTCAAATTACCAACTTATTTGATTTGGTTCACATTTATATCAAATCAAGTTCAAATCAAACTTTAATCAAGACGATTCATGGAGAAAACTCCATAAATTAAGGCCTAGAAAAGGAATTGACTCAATGCAAAGAATCATGGAGAGTCTTGTAAATACGAGCCTCCAAGACAAAGAAATTGACACTTAGACACCCTACAAACCTGAAAGACTCATAAAGCTCTCTACATTCTTTACCATTCGTGGACAATCAACAAGCGCATGCACCGATTCATCCACCATCAAAGCCAAAAATCACCTACCACATGACACTACTTGTGGTCGCGATTTGTGTAAGATCAAGTTTTGACGGCCCTTCAAGAAATCGCAAGCCCAATTCAAAATCAAGGATTCACCATCCTAATTAAATTCGAATTTTTGAGATTGAATCAAAGGATCAGGCGTTGTACTCAGAGATTGTAACCCTAATTTTATCATCAAGACAACCTGATTATTTTGCGTGTTTACAAAAACATATGGAGCTTCCGCATAGAACAAAAGAGTACAAACTCTCTTTTTAAGTGTGAGTGGAACCCCTTTTGTTTGGCACTTTATTGTTTTAGCTGTGTTGTGTTAGGTTACTTTCTTGCTCCCTTGTTTGAAAGTGGTCCTAGGGTGGTTAATCAGATGTGAAATTTCAGAGATTCATGTCCACAAGTATAAAAATAAGTGGCTAGCTTCACATGACATGCATCCTGTCCTTCACTTTGAGATGAAATAGGCCACCAGGATCCGTCACCGTGCATTTTGTGGCCCAGGATAAACCAAATCAATTATTGATTTGCAGATTCCATCTCTCAATTATTCCCCAATCTACATCAAATTTGTGAAAAGAAAGTAATACATTTGCATGCTCTATATGTAAAGAGTCATTTCTCATTATAAGATAAGTTAAATTCTAATATGATCGCAAATTTAGTGTTAATGAGATTTTTTTTAATTTAATTATTGAACTGTAATTAATTGACAACTAAAGATGAATGACTCTTTACATGTAAGAGTATATCCAATGTACGAAAAATTTGGACTCAAATCTGATATTTGATTCTAAATATGATTGTAAGGTTCTAAATCCACCGGAGGCTTAAAATTCATATATAAGTTTCTGAAAAGTTGAGACCCAAATTTAAGTTTTAATATGAGATTCCATCCTAAGTAGAAAAAATGTTATTAAAAAAATTGATATTTAAGTTTTGAATTCAATCATCTCAAATGCTATAACCAAATTGCTAAAACTCACATACAATTTTTTTTAGTTCAATATTTCTCCTTCAATGCAAAGATTCAAATCTTAAAACTCAAAGTGAGTCTTAAGAT